GCGTTTAAAAAAGTGGTGACTGCAATTTTATCCAGTGTGGAAATTATATAATATCATGGTATTTCAAGGATCTGTTTCTCAAAAAGGCATATGCTGGAAGTTTTTCCTAAGCATAAGTTAGGCTCATATTCTGTTCCAACACCAAAATATTAGACAGACAGAGGCCAAAGACTGGCTTTTCGCGCAGGTAGTGAGGTTTACATGAGGTGAGATGTAGAGAAAAATAAGTAGCTTCTCTACATCATGTTCCTTATTTTTCTGACATTGTACTGAAGCTATGACCTTGACCAACTATGACCATCCATTAACCCGTCTTCCTCTGCTGCCGCTAAGGTATGCAGATACCCTTAGCATTTGTCCCTTAAGATTTTCCTTCTGTGCTTATTCTTAAATTTGGTTTAGTTTTCTGGAGTCAGATCTTTCCAAATATCTTCTGATTCGGATCCAGAAAGATGTTTATTTTCAGGCTATTCATTCAACGTACATTGCTTTCCTGCAAGGAGTTTTGAAAGAAGATTTCAGCAAATCAAAGAGGAAGTAGGTTATTTTTCATTTCTTTTGTCAAATTGTTTGGCATTTCTCATTTGAAGAAAATTGAAACAAATAATTATAAAAAGCAAGAGAAACCTCTTATTCCATCTTCTGATATTATAATAATTCAAATGTCCTTGAAGAGCATTTATGGACAGTTTGCTGTCTCCACTCTCACTTCAGGATGATTTAATTGCAAGATTGTTTGCAAAGGTTTATGAGCAGTGATTTTTCTGTTAAGGAATACAGGAATAAAACAAACTGAAAGATACCTAGGATGTCTCTCTTGAAAGTTCTTGTTAACTTGACACAGAGGCTTTTTTTTAAGTCCACTCCTTTCAGACCAATTTCTTTCCATTTTGTCCCCCATCCTTTTCCACATTAATGCCACCTGTGCTGTCTCTCAGGTCTACCATGCATTCCCACTTCTCTAAGCACTCCCCCAGGTTCCTAGCTCTCCATTCATGTGTCTCCAAACTGCATTTTTCTCCTGTTGCCACTAGTCTCCCTCCCCATTTAGCAACACTTTGTATAATTTACTATGCCAGCTTGCATTCTCAATAGCCAGTACATTAACTCAATTTTCTAGTGAACTAAACAATGCTGGGGCAATCAGCACTTACAGGTCCCTCATTATGTAGTCCTGATACTAGCATGCATATTAATATGTAATACCAATAAAAAGAAAAACATATCTGTAAGCATAGGGTATAAATAATCGCTAGTTTTAGAAAGGGTTAAACTAAAAATGTAAGGTAGGAAGCATCCACTGTATTTGGAAAAGTTTTCATACACAGTCTCACCTTTCCTATCAGCAAAGTCAGAGTGGAAAGGAAGTAGGGAGTAGCATCAGCCAGGATCCAGCCTGGCTCAGTCATTTTCTGGCAGGGATTTGATGGATCTGCTCTGAATAGGTCTAATTCCCAGTACAGCTGGTATCAGCTGAGAAGCCATTAAAGTGAATATATAAACTACAGGAAAGTATGATGGTGACATGTTTTGTTTCTAGCTTGTTAAACCAGTAATTGTTACTGCAAGTAGCTGTCATTCCCACCAGCATTGGCTTCTTGTTGACAATTCAGAAAACTCATTTGTTTTATAGTGTGAAGCGTAATTTACTTCATGGTTGGTTTCTTTCTTTCCCTGTCAATCCCAGATCTCTGAGAAAGAAATGCAGTCAGTTTTACAGCAAGCAGAATGAGCTGTAACTAAACTGCCAGTACAAAAACTATGGCTTCTTACTGATTATGAAGGAACTTTTTTGAAAGGCACATAGGATCAAAACCTCCCTTTTGAATCATATTAGCTAAGACTAGCGAAGTCATTGACTATACCCAGATTGCATAGTGATGTGTGGATATTTGCCCTTCAGTTTGCGTGGATCTCAGTTAAACTTGACAACTCCAGAAGAAATTAACTCTCGGAAGTTGACCGCCTGCTGCCCTTTGGCTGTTTGTGTCTCCCAACAGCCAGCTGTTCATACAGTAGTCAAGGACATGGCTATAGCCATGTCAGGAGTGTGGAGAAGATAGAGCCCTACTGTTAACTCCTAGAAATGCAAACGAATACTTTACAGTATAGACGTAATTTAAGTAGGAAAAAAAAAGTCTCATGGGCATTCAGCTTGTTCTATTCAGGAAACATTTTTGATGACAGAAAGAAGGCTTCTGTAAACTGTATCATCACTAGGAGGGTTTGGCCATACAACAAACCTTTCCCAGGTTGGTTAATACTTAAAAACAAGTTAGCTTAACATATTCAGGATGAATGTGTCTATATAGAATGACACCAGAAGTGTAATTTCTGAAAGCCAGGGAATAAATTGGTCTGTTCACAGCCCTTTTTTTATTTTGGATCTAAGTGGTTTTTTGAGCTCTCTTCTGAGATAATTCTGAAATTAATTGTATGTAGTGTAGTGCTAAGAGTGACAAACCCAACCAAACAGCAAAAAAACCACAGCATCAGGGTTTTTATCCTGGTTATCAAAATAAACCAAGCACTAGAGAAGTGTTTCCTGAACACACAGTTGTACAAAAGAGTTGTCAAAAATCCTTTGAAGGGGACTGTACTGTCTTGTACCAAAGCAACCAGTAGCTGTGAGAAGGCACATACTGCAGGAGGAAGTCGTTTCTCAAAAGGCGCTACAGAAGAAGGCCTTGTAAACAGTCCATAGTTGGGAAAGGGTTTTACTGAAGCCTGGTTTAAGATGCAATTGAAGCACCACATACTGTGCTGAGTTCTGCAGAGATACATTAAAAATTGGAGTTTTGGTCAGGTTCTCAGTTTGAAGAGGCCTTGAACAGACTGGGTAAGCTTTCCTGAACATACTGGCCTATTTGTACTAAAGATAAAAATGTAACTAAAACCAAAGATATACAGGAAATATAGTTACAAGTAAAGGAGGGCTCCAGCCTGTAGGAGCTGCTGCAGAAGCCTACTAGTAAGGGGCTTGATGCACCAGAAAGAGGAGCTAGACCAAAGCTCCCTCACACAGATGATATGGGGCCAAGAGAACCGACTGGTTATTTCTGCCCTGTCCTCCACATTCCCTGCCGTACGTGGCAAGAGACCTGTGAAGGTCTGAGCCAGCAAGAATAGCTGCAGCGGTAACCCGGATGGGGACCTTCAGGCCTGCAGACCTTTGAAGCACTGTCTGTCCCATGCTGTCCTTCGTTCTTTTCACTTCAGCTTCCTTCTCTTACTTTCTTCTGACCTGCCCTGTCCTCATGATTTCCACTGCCCTTTGAATGCCTTTCTCTTTGTGTTATCTTGTCACTTTAAAGGAATCCAATTAGAAGATGAATCATGAAAATAATATATACCTTATTAATACAGTATCATTTATTCCTTTTGTGTTGTTCCTCACTTTTACATTTTTTCTGTTGTCTCTGACTGTCCAAAGTCATTCTTGCTTATTTGTCTATTTAGACTGACTCTTTGTTCCAGAAGTCACTGACTACTTGTGTCTTCAGAGTATTCAGTGGGAGGAGATCCCCTTTTTTCAAGATCTCTAAAGCCTACCCATAATAAACATCATTAACAATAAATGCATGCCCACATACAGTTATTGGGATGTTAGTGTCATCTGTTTTATCAGCCCATTAGTACAGGCTTTTACCTCACATCAAAGTTTTGGTCTAATACCTGGCTGTCCTCTCCTAGCCCTCAGGTACCTGTGCAGTACAGCCACCGTCTGCATTGCGTGCGGTCTGCCAGCACCTGTTGAAATTGTTGCACTCTGCCTAACACATACTCTTTCCTCACTATCATTCAAAGAATATATGAGTCCATATAGCTTCTGCTCTGCTTGCTGGTATCACATATATTAAAACTCAACTGCCGTAGACAAGGATAGAACTAACATATTTTGCCTGTTGGCTTTAGTGGCACTGACACTGAAGCAGCTCACTGACTACAACTGCCTACTCTTACTTTAGCAAGTAGTAAATATCACACTGGAAATACACATCCTATTTTTCACCTTAGGTCTAATCCATCTAAAACTTGCAAAAATGTGCATAGAAACGATGAACATTTAAATCTGCAGAGTTATCTGTGTGTGCTGACCTTCAGATACTAAATGAACAGTGTCTGGATTTTGGCAATCAGCAGCTTGAAAGGGAACAGAAAGCAAGCCACTTGTCACGAATAATCCCATCCTTCTTTTTTTTTTTCAATTTTGTTGTGCCTTGAACTTTAAGCATCTGATGGAAAGATAATGGCATTTTGAGGTTAACTACTAGTTTTAAGTAATTAACTTCTTTCTTAGTGAGCGTGGCTAGTTGAATTCAGTAAAAATGAATACTGTAAACCCACTTATATATGGAGTTTGATCTCTGTGCTGCGGTGACAGAGAGATGCTTAAATTACTTATCTTTGAATCCAAAAGATCCTAGAGTGCATTTTAAAAGCCTGCCAAGCACTGCACAGGAATACCTATTGATATACCAAACAACTGTGGTTGCAAATACAGCAGCTAAAATTTAGGCATATAGAATGTAGCAATCTTGTCTAAATAAGATAACAAATAATATAACTTGGATTTTGTCCAGGACACCCCTTTTCTCCCTCCCCCATCTCCAAAAATAAGATCTTTAGTGACCACCAGAGTCAAAAACTTTGGTTTTGCATATCCTCTCCCTCCTTCCAACACCTCCCCGCCCCCCCCCCTTCTTGTTGGTTGTAAGTACAGTTAAGGATTCAAAAGGCAAAGTATGCAGTTAGAGCTTCACTTTAAATATTTCATACTGCTAAGAAGGTTGTGAAATATTAACAAGAGATCTAAGAAAGAGGCAAACTTCACTTTTAAGTTTACTTTTTTAAAAGGCAGCCAAAATTTGTTGTTGTGTCTTGGATTATTCGTGCTTTCCAGTATCTTGCAGTCTTCCTTCACTATCACAAAGCTCCATTCTAGGAAGGAGAAATACACCCTTTTAAAGAAATCATTTCCTAAAAGGTTACAGACTCACCACATCCATGATCTGCATGAGGCTGAGAGTGAAGTAGACCGTGAGCGGCTGGGAATCATTTGCAACCGGTCGCTCCAGAGGGTTGTAATTTTTCAGCAGCTCCTTGTAAAGCTTCCGTTGGAACTCTCCTTGCAGGGACTCTTCGGGCACAGGAATAAAGAGATAAAAAATTAGGATTCTACATCAGAAAGTAAAGCTAGGACATACGTTCTTTTCCTGCTATCAGATATTATGTATCTGTTGTTTTACCTGCTGCATTCTCAGGAAAATGTTGCCGTAATTCATATAGCTCCTTAGCTACAACAAAATCTTATCACAGATGTATCACTCTTTCTTTTCATCCCAGCATGTAAGGGGGATTCCCTCTTTGATCATTTCTTGGCTGGACAGGAATGATAAATTCTAAATGCTAATGATGCTTTGTCAACATATGCACCCTTTGGTCCAGCAGCAAGAAGTGAAGAGGAAATATGGTACCTATATTTTGACACCTGTCCTGGCATAGCTATAACCAGAAAAGCAGAACACAGATACAGCAGAGGGCATCAGCAAGACGGCGGGAGAAAAATGGCCACAGGTTAGACTGAATCCTGCTCCCAGACTGCTTCAGACTGAGAACTCCTTGGGACCAAGTACTCTCCGCTTTATTCTCTGTTCATGCAGCTATGAATCAAGGAGGGGGGTACAGGGTATCTGGCAGAGATGATAGGCACTATATTAATATACATGATAATATTTAGGGATTTTTGTCCTAGTTACACCTGAAACCCAGGGATGGTCATTATGCTGCCGGTTTTCTACAGAGGGAGAGGGAGCAGATCCACATGGATGGAGCAGAGCAGATAGACCAAGGGCTGAAGTGGTTTCAGAATGAAAGGAAATCTGGGCCAGGGTAGGAACAGGTCCCTGTCCCTACTCCAGACAGACTTTCCTCTCCCCCGTTTTCTAGTCCTGAACTCCCCCCACAGAAAGCCACACTCGCTGCCCCGAAGCCTCTGCCGTTTGGGTGCCCCGACGGAGTTTGCTCCCCCATCCCCACTGCCCCTCCCGGCAGCTCCCAGCGCCGGCAAGCCCGCAGAGCGGCCCGGGACAGAGGGCAGCTCCCAGCCGCAGCGGCCGGACCTGGGGGGGAGAGAGGGGCCGGGGACCCGCCGTGCCGTGCCGTGCCGTGCCGTGCCGTGCCGTGCCGTGGCCAGGGTAGCGGTCCCTGCCCTCCCGGCCGCCCCCGCCGTATCCCGCCCGGGCTGCCCGCGGGAGCACGGCATTCACTCACCGCGCACAAGCCCCGCCGCCGCCAGCAGCCACACCGCCAGCTCCTGGAGGCCCATCCCGGGAGACCCGGCTCGGCGAGGGAGGGAGGGAAAGAAGGAGGGAGGGAGGAAGGAAGGAAGGAGGGAGGGAGGGCGACAGCAGCAGCGCCTTCCGAGCCCCGCCGGCCCCGAGCGGCGCGGGCCGAGCCGCGGATCCGGGCCGCTGGGAGCCGCCGGCGCCCCTGGGACCTCCGGCAGCTCGGCCCCTTCCTGCGCCCGCACCGCAGCTCACCGTACGGCGCTGCGGGCTCGGGCGGAGCGCAGGAATGCTGCCGGCCCGCCTCCGCGTCCTGCCTCCCCGCCTGATGGATTTCCCTCCCTTCCCCTAATCCTGGAGCGTCCCCGGGCCGGAGGGGAGGGAGCGAAGCCGCCGGCAGGCTGTTACTGCAGCTGGAGCGATGCGGTGCGCTGGGCAAAGCGGCGCCGGCATTATAGAGACGGGAGCGGGGGCAGCCCCCTCCCCGCTGGGCAGCCGCGCCCCGCAGCCCCCCCCCCCCGCGCCCGCGGGGCCGTCCCCGACCCCCCCAGCCGAGCTCTCCCGCAGCGGCCTGGGCTGCGGCGGGGCGCGGGCAGCCCGGCCCTGCCCGCCCGGAGTCACGGAGCGCGAAGGCTGCTCCGGGCAGGGAGGGAGGGAGGGAGGGAGGGAAGGGAGCCCGCCCGGCCCGATCCCGTCAGGGCAGCCTGCCCGCGCGGCTGCCGCGGGGAAGCCGCTCTGCCCCCTCTCGCCAGCAAGCCAAAGGGCATCGGGTCCCTGAGGGCCAGGAGCTGCCTTCCCCTCCCCTCCTCAGCCCAAGTGCTCCGTCATCCTGTTTTGCCACCAGCGGCGGCTGCTGCCGTGGAAGGCGTGAATTGGCGCCGAGGGCAGCAGAGTGCCCTGGGCAGGGTAGCTGGAGGGGAAGGCAACCGGGGGAGGGCCGGTCCCTGCTGGCCTTAGCCAGGAGTTTGGCTTCCCGTCACATTTTGGGGAGGAGGGAGATGGGCAAAATGATGTTGCACACATGGCTATTAAATCCCCAGCAGAGATACGGGACTGGGGGCTCAGGTGCTAGATGTTTCATCTAGATACGGGAAAAACAACCGTGGCTGAGGGGCCTTGTGTTTAGTGCTTGGCAAACACATGACTGAGTAAAATTATGCCTGTGCTCCTGTCTGGTGTAATGATAAGGCAACCACAATTGGAAAGCAGGCCTATAAAATTCAGTGCATTTTGTTCATTGTCTGGTTCCCATTTGCAACTTCAGGCACAGTTTTGAGACCATACATGGGTTATTTATTTCAGCCCAAATCCCTGTCCTTCAAATCCAGTTGCTACATTAAATGAATGTCCCAAGCAGCTGCATTTAAGGGAGAATCGTACTGAAGAATGTCCTCGTTTGTGAGGGGTAACTAAATGCCTGTTTTTCAAAGTAAACAGCAGTTTATTAGTTCACGTTAATTCTCAGCTTTAAAACCCCAGGTAATCTGTTTTGGCTGAAGCACTGGCCTAACTTGCGTAGCCACTGTTGATGCACAGTGTATGTAAATGTTGAGCACAGGAACAGGCGAAACTGGGGGCAACCCCAGTAGCCCAGCACATTGGTGCATCATGTGTTCCGGCCGTAACAGACAGGAGGACTAAAACATTCCCCTTTTCATTTAAGCAACATGGCAAACTGCTTTACCAAGGGGTGGTGGAAACCAGCAAGTGGCAATGGTAACTCTCCAAAAACCAAGCCATAGCTGATGCAGGGGCATACACTGTCAGAGTTCTCAGGCATTTTTTTTAACAGTCCATCTAGGTTGAGTTTATTATTTATCTTTTTTGCTTTGTGGTGTTTTTTTTTGTTTCCTGTGAGATCTTGACCTTTTTGGGCCAGGTAGCAGGCAGGAGCAGGTTGCTAGGGGAGCTCTCTGTTATTGGCAGAGAAACCAAGTATTGTCCATTTGTATTTCAACCCCACCATGGCAGTGGTCTTAGTACCCAGATTTTTGCCTTATCTCATTTAGGGAAATAAACTAATTTTCTTTCCCCCTGCTCTTTTTATCCACTGCTCTTTTGGCACAGGTGCCCCAAATCTTTCTGGGGCATAAATTGATCAGGCAAAGAAATCTGGAGAGGAAATTTACAGTTCATGGCTGACCTCTACTGTTGGCTCATTTTTTTGCTCTGCACATTGTTTTGTTGACAACTGCCTCACCCCGGGGTGGTGAAGGCAGGGTCAGCAGTGAATGCACTTGTAGAAGCATCCACAGCCCAAGGGCCTCAGGGCTCTGTTATAGGACTCAAAAGCTAAACCCTTCAGGGAATGGTGCTGAAACCCTAAATTTCAGTAGTATAAGCACTGAAAGAATAATTAATAACTATTTCTTTGATAAATCTTAACTTATTTTTTGTTTGTGGCTTTTTTTTTTTTATTTTAGCAAATTAAATTTTATAGGCACTTTAGAAATTCTCCTCTTTAGATATTCTTTAACAGCAATCAGCAGCCCAACTCCTTAATTAAACTGTGTCCAATCAGGTACATTCCTTCTAAAGAGTTTACCTTTCTAGTCAGAGATTCTGGTATGAATGCACATGAATGGCAGGAAGGGGTTAAATTTGCTTTCTGTGGACATCCTGGCTTATGAAAGCTAATTTCACAAATACTTATATGGCTTGATTGTCTAGATCCTAGCAAAGAAAGATAAACACTATACTGAAGTCCTCTACTAGTCTTCATTTATGGCACAAGTTATCCTTGTAAAAGTCTGCTGTTTACAACTTAAAAGGAAGCTGTACAGCCTGTGGCCAGCAGAGGCTCTTTTCTTTGCCTCCAATGCCCACCAGAGATAAGACCCACTCTTGTCTGAGCTTTAATTCTTCTTTCTGTTGTATGCTATCCAACCAGGTGATTTGGAGGGAGCTGTTTCTGCTTCCCAGATAATAACTGTTTAGACACAATGATGAATGCAAATTCATTTAACAATTACAGGCTGTAGAAACTATTGTGGGTCTCCCAGCCCACTTCCCATAGTCGTGTGTTCAGTAGAATATAAACAAGCACTTAATATCATCTTGTTTCTCATTGGACATAATTGGACACAGCCAATTGTGTGTCTGTTTCTGAATACCCAATATATTCACAAAGATAACAGTATGCACAGGTCATGCATCTTTACATGACGGTCAGGCATAAGAAAATGTTTGTGGTAATAGTATGTATCTAATACCAGCATGCTGCCTGTTGTTCCTTTCTCTGGTAAGCAAAGTAGGTATAGCCTTGTACAAAAAGCGAAAGTCCTCTCTCAAGTACTCTTTCAGATCTATTTTGAGAGTGAGGCACAGAGCTACTAGAGAAATAACTACAGGATTCTGAATTAATGTGTCTACAGAAAAGACCCTCATCATGATTGTAAGATGTTTGTTTATACTCAGAGAGTGTCTTCCTAGTTTCATTTATAAGACTAATTTCATACACTGGTCAATTAAAAGAACCAAGGAGTAGAGAACATTCAGAATGACTCATGCAGTCATTATAAGATGTTGCAGTTGTCCAGGAATACCCTCTTTTTCTCTTTGCACACATTTACAGGTAACCAAAGTGTGCACCTTCCTAATGTGGCAGAAGATGATAAGATAGCCCTGAGATTAGGCTGATAGCAGAGAAGTGACCATCTCATATTATATGCAACTAAAGTGACTGCATTTGCTGACTTTGATCTAATTATTGTGCAACTGCAATGACCGGGACTTCCATATCAGAAAAAAAATCTGCTTTGTCTTTAGAGAAGAAGGTAGAATAGACTAGGTAATTTACAGCATATTTTAAATGAGACATACCCACATTTATCTGAATGTTATTAGAATTAAACTACCTCTTTAATGTTTGCCTGGTTTTTTAGGTAGCCTTAGTAATTGCATCTCATGTTATTAGTTATTCTCTGTTGTTTATTTTGCATAACTAGTAGCTTCAGTGATGGACAATGTATATGTAAGGACCCAGATTTTTTTCTGTAAAACATCCTGGAACAATATATTGCTTCTTCCTTTTGAAGAGGTAACAGGTAGTTTTGATGTTGAGTTTTCTATTGAAGGACAAATTAGTGATCTGAAATCTGGTTAATTTTGTAATTAAACTTTATATTCTATACATCAAATCTTGACCAGAGGTTCACAAAGATAATCTCTTCCAAAATTCTTAGCTCCTACACCAGTATGTGATTTCCAGAAACTGATCCATTTCCCAAACAGTCTTGTTGGGAAGGATAAAGAAGAACACAAACTATTCTGTTGTTTAAAAACAACAAAGCTGCTGCCCTCGCACTTTGTAAAAAGCAACTACAGAAAGAACATTTCTGAAAAGTGATCAGATGTGAAGAATAAGGATTTGTAAAATTTGTGTAATGAATTTTCATAACTGATGATCATTTCTATAATGCCAACACCTTTCAAAATCCATTATTGTCTTTCATTACTGTTCACATACACTCACATTAAGGTGTGAGCATAGTTATTAAAGAACAGTGGCAACACCACTGTGGTATAGTGAATGAAATATCTCAAATGAAATAACTGCAGAGGTTTCTCAGCATATCTACCCTACAGGTGCTTTTCTCTGTCAAAAAATATCACAGATTTTCATTGATGTCATGCTTAGCACATGTTGACTTTAGTTTCTGTATAAGAAATTACTTGTTCCTCTCATTTCAACCTCTGTCAGGTCCTTCTGAGTAATTTTGTAATTCCAGGATTTGGCATTCATTTCTCACTGACATAGAATTCACAGCATTAGAGAGTCACTTTGCCATCTTTCTGCATGAGTGTGAACAACAGAAAGTTGGCAAAATTGCTTTTCTTCACGCTGGTTGATTTTAAATAAATACGTAATTTAGGGTTCACAGAAACTAATTAAACTTGACAGGAAATCTGCATTTTAGGCCTGCAGCTTTAACAGATCCTCATCTATAAGCATCTGAAGACCAACCTTGTTTATCATGTCCTAAAGCAAGATACTAGAAATTTTTCCTTGCTGAAAAAATTACCATCTGCTACAATTTAAATAACTAACATAAATTCCGCAAAAATGGTCATTTGATCTGTAAAGACCGTGCTAATAAGGTCTTTGACCATAAAGCAAAGCTCTAATCCTTTCAAAGACAAAAATGTTTGAAACATGACTTTTTTTCCTGGGAATGCTAAATAATGTTGTATTAGAGCTGAGCGCAAATTCATTTAAACTTTGAAGTTATAGTTGAGGCAGGGGATATGAAACAGGTCAGTCTTACAAAGCCAAATTTCTACAGATAAGATTTCTAAAAAGAAAAGTAGTCAAGGTGCACTATTCTGCTAGAGGATACTGAATTTTGTCCTATAGAATTCTAATGGTTAAGTTTTGGTTCATCAAATGCATACATTTTTAATATGGCTAGGGGAAGAAAGAATTTATTTTTTCAGGTCTCTGCATTTTGTCTTGGAATGCATGGATTGCAAATTTA